CGTGAATTCTGTGTATGTGGTATTACAGTCCACAGGTTTGACTTCGACGCCCATCAAGAAATATATAAAGATGTGGACAGGATATTTGGGCAAATGAGGTTACGAACGAGTGTAGATGGCGTTAACGTGTCATTAAAGAATAGGCGAAACTTTTCATTGATTTGAGCTTCACCTAAATCGAAAGCGTAATCCATAAATAGCATACTCCAATTGAAAGCCTCCAACCTATTGAAAGTGTATCGAGGAGATCCTCAATCTATTAATTTGTTAGTTAAATTCTCCAACTATTTTTTTGCAGCATTGGAGTCCCAGTGGAAATTTGACCTTTATCTTTGATTAAAAATTCAAAATTTTCATTAAGACAATGATTTTAAATTTTTTTTTTTTTTAAAAAGAGCTATTAATTAGAATCTAGGGTGACCGTGTGAGATTCGATGGATTTTTTTTATTTTCTTTTTCAGATCAGTTTTGAAAAAATCCTAACGTGAATTTTTAGCTCAATAATTATGCATTCACTACATTTGATACATATACTCGAAACAAATTGATACAAAAATTAAGGAAATTGTTACTGTCACGCAATAGATTCGTATATTAACAAAATTTATTCATTGCTCTTATCCAATTTTGAATATTGAAGAAGCGTGAAATGCTATCGTAGTTATCAATTCTTGTGGAGTTGTTGCATTACCTCTTTGATTTTGTAAATATAGAAATAAGCGCTTTATTAAGTGCATCAACTTCCTCCTCTATCACGTTTTCACTTCTTTATTTTTATTTTTTTTTTCTATTCGTTAGAATTATTTAATTTGAATTAGTTAAAACTAAGGGCAAAATGGTTGACTGAGGATTCAAATATTGCAAAACTAAAAGATTAAGGACTTATGCCAAATATTAAGTTAGGACCCCAGAAGTAATTTTAGATTAGATGTCGGCAGACTTGGGACCTATGAGCCCGCAATTGGTTGCCTAAATAAGCCAATACACTCTTATTGGGGCTAATCTGCTCTCACTACATTAATGATTAGGGTAAATTGCACATGGGGTCTCAAATTTTTGAAGGTTGTGACATTAGGATCTGAACTTTTGAGTTCTACCATGTAGAGTCCCAATTCGCTTGCTAACTCCGATTTTCCCTTCGATTTGGAGCACTAGCTTGCTTGGAGACAAATTTCATTTTAGGGTTGATGGATGTTTTGGGTTCAAGTGTGAAGAGGATGAGTTGAGTTTATCTTCTAATTTTCCCTTTTTATGATTTCTCTTTGAATTCTTTTATGTTTTCTCTTTTATCGCTTGTATGTAAGCATGAATAACTCCATTTTGACCGGTTTTATCCCCCGCCATTCCCTCGCGTGACCAACGTATGGTGGCTCAATGTCGAA